AAAAAAAAAAAAAAAAAAAAACTCGAGCAGTATAACAACAACAGCCCCGCCCCCCTGTTCGTCCCTCTCCTCTGCCGCAGCGTGGCTGCGGCGCGTCCACTTGTTAATTAATAAAAGGAAAGGGCAAAGATACTACCACCTGAGAATAGAAAAGGAATACCTTTTTCGGCCTGTTGGCTAAGATCAAGTGTAGTATCTGTTCTGGTCAGTTGAATATCTGATCCGTGGTCCACCGGGCCACATAAAAAAGAAAAAGGTGATGTGGTTTGGATATTTCTATTTGTAATTTTGTATCTATTTATTGGTGGGGGAGGTAATTAACACTTACTACCCCAAAACCCGGGGACGCGTGCCAAAGGGCTCGCAAGAGCCGGGTTCCCGACCAAAGGCGCTGTTTGAGTCTCTATATAGATAGGCCGTTGGCGCCCGTATCTATTAACTGAGTTAACTCAATGATACTACTTCGCTGCCTAACCTATGTGCTCCTGTCCTTATCTGAAGATGTTGATATCGAAGATAAAAAAAAAAAAAAGAAAAAAAAAAAAGGAAGAGAAAGGACTCTTCAAGAAAATCTAAGCCTTTGGGAGCTAAAATGCTCCCCGTGCCCTTCTTTTTTTTTTTTTTTTGTGCTCTTTTTTTTAAAGACAACCTCAGTCTACTAGGGGGAGTGATGCGGGCATCTCCCCCTTCTAGGCCCGGCGTTGGTCGCTCCCCCATGCCCTAAAGGGCACAATAAGCCATGGAGAGAACTGCAATCATCCCGAAGAATCTGACTTCACCAGTCTAGAATCTCAAGGGCAGACTCCAGACGTTCGCCCGGTCATTTGTACAACAAAAAAGGGAACAACATTTGCGCAGTCACGAAAACAGTTTGAAACTGTATTTCAGGCATCCCTCGAACATAACACACCCCTACCGGACCCTTAAGCTAGCTTGTATACATTCAACATTTTCAGCGTTTTGCCTAGATAAAGTTTGTGCCAGGAGACACCCTTTTTTTCTAATTTTTGAGGAACTTCTTTTGATTCGAAGGGACCCTGGGTAATGGCCCCAGTATCTCCGGTTGGTTTCCCAGCCTTGGTTTTCCCTTCGGATATTGAGCAATATAAATGGTTACTCTTCGCCAAAAAAAAAAAAAAAGATTCCCTGTTATGCATTTAACCAATTCGTATAATCATGTTATCAACCTATAAAAGAAGGGGGGGAGGGCTGGAATTAATAATAAAGCGGTTTCCGAGGCACACAGGAAAACAAAAACCGACATGCGCACCAAAAAAAAAACAACAAGGAGCCTGGGCTTTAAAAATAAAATAAAATAAATAAAAATCGAAAGCATTACTGCACCATACTCGTGCACGTGGCAAGAGCATGGATGGCGCAGCATGATACACATACTTCTTTTTTCCTTTTTTTTTGGGGGGGGGGGATTCACGTCCAGCATACCCACAAATGCACGCAAGAAAACTCAGTAGCACAGATGAAAAAACTTAAAATGGAAGAACGAGCTAGGAACTTTGTGCATTGTATTTGTGGTGTCACCCCTTAAAAAAAGTCATCCGACTCATAAGATCGCGTTTGAGAGCTTTTCGTCAACAGCTGATCACCCAAGCGTGCACATGTGCACCTCTCTCTCTCTCTCTCTCTCTCTCTCTCTCTCTCTCTCTCTCTCTCTCTCTCTCTCTCTCTCTCTCTCTCTCTCTCTCTCTCTGTGTGGAATAACCCGCCTGTTCCTTGAAAATGAAACTTCATCCTAAAATAAACTAGATTGCAACTGCCTCCTACTTTTGCTTTGAAGTGACCGTGGTTGCAAACTGGTCCTGGAGGATCCTTTCATAATTGACAAGCTTCTGATCTTAGTTGGGTAGCCTATCCTCTATTAGGGCTGCTATTCCTAACTCTTGTACAGTTAAAAGGTCGCCTTTCTACGACGACAGCCTCTTGACTCAAGGTCTAATGATTCCACCAAGTCTTCCGCTATTGCTTCGAAGCGAATTTTTGACCCGCACCATTTTATTCTGTTTTATCTCGTTTCTGAAGACTGGGTTGTTAGCTTTAGGTTTGCTTTGAGTTTCCATCCTAACCGTCCTTCCTTCAACCGCGTGCCGTTACCTAGGTAGTCTCTTCAAGTACTTTGCTAACTTCTGAGTTAATTCGCCTTCCCGCGAGCTCTTCCTGTTTTCAGTTATCCGCTACCTAAATGGCTAAATTGCACCGGTGGGTGCATCACGGCTGATTCTGACTTCTCGACGATCTTCTTCATCCAATGCTCTAGCCCCAAGTTTATCCTGGTTTCCATTTTCGCTATTCTAGAACCTTCATCAGTAAGACCCGCTAGGACTTCGAACAGTAAATGAATGATTGTGGAGTGAAAATCCCTTGAGAATTTCAATCTTGAGAAAAGACTCCATAGGGACTCGACATCGGAAGCCTCCATCAACGGTTGGCTTCTCGTTCTCTGCGCCGTTAAGGGAGAAACGGCCAGTGCGAAGCCAAGCGCCAAGAAGGCACCT